TAAAAAAGAAAAAAATTGTGGTTTTTTTCCTAACCAATTTCTGATTTATATCTTGCCTAAAACTGGATAAAATCTTTCAGTACTATGAGCATCCAGATGAAATTTAAAAGTGCTGCTGTCTTTCAAAATCTGTAGAGACTCGTTTAGGAAAATAAACCTCAACAATTTGTGGAGCAATTTGACTGTTATCTCCACCAGTTCTATGGCTGAGATCTCCTGTGACTTTATTTCAAGTGATCTAAAAAGAAATGTAAATAAACAGGAAAAACAGCCGAAGAAAATGCTCAGCATTAATTACAGGTACGTAATAAATACCATATTTGATCTTCCACAGACAAACCTCTATGGCTGCACTCAGTATAGATCAGCCAGAGCACTGTTTCCATGTCACAAAATACAAATAACAATGTCCACGAGATGCCCATAAATAATAGATTGTATCTAATGACTGGATAGCAGCCAGCATTTATCTCTCTCCCTCCTGCCTCTCAGTGCATTCATTCATCATCTCTGCCAGCAAACCTCCCCACACAGCACACCCCAGCCAGGGGTCACTGCTCCGCTCGTGCCACTGCCTCCTGCACAGCCTCCAGGTCTGGGCTCTGCAGGCAAGTTAAGACCTCATTAACTCTTTATCCCAAACCAGAGGAAGGGTGGATCCCATCCTGTGCCGTGAATCTTCATGCACATTAAACACCACGGTGCTCAGGGCACACTGGTGTGACCCAACCACTTCCCAGCTGTGGTATAATAATACAGTACAGTGCAATAGGAGACACCCCACTGATTTCACAGGATAGCCTGAGTTGGAAGGGACCCACAAGCATCACTGACTCTTAAGTGAATGGCCCATACAGGGACCAAGCTCACAGCTTGGTGTTATCAGCACCATTTCCTAACCAACTGAGCTGATCTCAGGGTCCCTGATGACACCTTGCACAGAGCAGCACAGAGTCTCTCCCTGCTCCTGCATCCCTGCTGATGCTCTCAAAATGTCTCCTGTCAGTCCTGGATCTCTCCCAGACACAGGCTGTGATGAAAGCTTCATCCACCATTTCACTTCCCTGGATGACCAGGGCATCTCCAGCCCTGTTCTCAGTCAAAAGATCATAATGAGTGATTTCAAGCTGTGTTGTCCAGGTATTGTGAGATGATGCCCTGTTGTGTCACAATATGAGTATACATTTTTCTTCTACTCACAATATATTTTGATCTGAATTCAAAATACATGCGTTTTGTTTCTACACTACAGTATAAAGAGAGTGCCCAGGACACTGGGCTAATTTTTTCAGATCTTTATTTAATTTTGCTCTGGCAGGGCACAGAGGATGCCTGCATTTACTGGATGATGCTGTGTGATATTTATCTTCCTCTCAAACTCAAGACAGGACAACACACCTACAGCCAACTCAGCTGAGAGAAACTGTCTATTCTATCTCATGGTGTCTTCAAATGAAGATAATTTCCTTTCTGGTAGATCTATTTTAACCAAATACGTTTTATTTTAGTCTAACATAAGTTTTCTGAGTCACAGGAAGAGTAACTGGATTAAATTTAATAATCTCCAATATACAAGAAGTCTCTTTTGCTCAAACCATATGAAGCCACACATTTGGCGATAACAGAAGATAAAAATCAAGATAGGAAGCTGACGAGAAAAATATCTATTTTGCTCCCTGCCATTTCATTCTTTTCACAATAATCAAATAATTTGTTTTGCAGAAAATGATGGAGCAGATAAAAAATTCAGATTCCTCGTTTTGCTGCAGAGGAGTTCAGAAAGCCCAAACATTCCCTCAGTGTCCTCAAAGGCCTTGGGTCCATCCTAACTGAGGAATGGCAGCAACATGCTGGATGTTAGCAAGGTCTTGCTCTCCGCAGCTGCTAAACACTGAAGTTATTTTAAGCTCTGAAAACAATTTATCAAATTACAGTTCTGAAAAATGGTACAATGTGAGTCATATTTACTTCACATTTCTCTTTCTGCAGGCTCTCGCTATTGGCTGTGGGTTATTTATTAGCTCTGATGCCTGCTCTGAGAAGCTCCTTCCTGGGTCTGTATTTCACATTTAATGAGTGCTTTTGCAATTTTATGACTGTTTTCTGAAGCTGAGGTGGCACTTTGAAAAGCCTCGTGGTTTATGGCCCGTTTCAGACTCCACTGATTCCTGCCCGTTACTACGTACGTGAAACCACACACAGCTCCATTCTGCTTGTCCCCCATTCTGCTCTTTGTCAGGCCATGGAAAGCTTTATGGGCATCAACAGGGACTCTCACCTCAACAAGGACAAATTAATCCATGGGACTGCGCCACATCCAGCAGGGCCACTGGTCAGTGATGGTGCAGAAGGTGGACCCCACACTCCAGTGGGAGATGTCCAAGAGCTCACAGCCTCCCTGGGTTGGAGCTATGTACCTACAATTGGGTCATTCCATTTATTGCTCAGGGAGGGTGGATTCTTTGCTCACGATCAGGTTGCAGCATCCAAAGGTACAACACAGACCTCCACCAGCTCCAGCTGGGACTCTCCATGTCTGGTTACTGCCTGGCCTTTGTCACACTCAACCACTCTGTGCTTAGACATGAAAGAGCTTCAGAGCTTCAAGGACACCAGTTGACCTCATGCAAAGAAGCTGTGAGCAGGTAACCCACAGATACACTATCTTGGCCATCCATAGGTCATCAAATTCACAGCATCTTTAAAGTCCTTGGTAGGTTGTCACCAGCATACTTAAAAGTCTGTTTAAAGTTCTGCCTCGTAAGACTGTCCTTAAAAAAGGACACCACTTTCCTTCAAAAGCAAATTTTTGTCTCTGTGGGGGACTGAAGTTCCCTGGGGACTGGTCTGAGACTGAGGAACTCACATTTACAAGAGCAAGTTGTTGTTGCAAACCTCACCACCCGCTGTGCTGAGTGATGCGTCTGCAGTTTTGATCTTGCTTTTTTTTTTTTAAGTGATAAATACATAGTGGCATATGCACTTAAAACAAGTGTGCTCTGGAAAAAAAAACAAAAACAAACCTCCAGACAAATTTCCCCTGCTCCTTTCCAGAACAAAACTGAAATAAACAACCCAAAACCTCCATAAAAACAAAATACACCAGTACACCCCTGCACTTGCTCCTTTCTGCTGGGGAGAGAATGACAGAACAGATGTATAACATAAGCTATTTATGTTGGTTAATATATTACTGGGGAGATGCTGAGAGATGGCAGTGATAAGTTTAGAAGCAACTATATAGGAAATATATTAGAATAGAGCAGATCCCCACCTGCCCACAATGTTGTTCTACCAAGCGTTCATTTCTAAGTGATGTGTCACAGAAATCCTGCGCTGGGTTCATGTGAAAAATCCATGTGAAATACGGAGCGCGCTCGGAGCCTTTCTGTACAACAACATCCTACGGAAATTCTCACTCTTCTGCTTCCTCCTTGCTTTCACATTTCACAGAAATGTCCCTCTCCTCTTGCAACCATCTCAAGGAGCTGTACTTAGAGTACAGGGAGTTATAATAATTCCCATATTTAATTTAAAAAATTTTCTCTTCATGCAAATAGTTGTAGTCAGAAAGTGCTCTTGTGTTCCGTGGGAAAATATTGCTTTCAATGAAATTGTAATTTTCATTATCAGGATGATTAAATCAACAACATTAAAATAACAATGACAGAATCACTCTCATTTCCCATTTCAAAGCGAAATAAAACAACACTTTGAAATGGTGATTCAAAGCGTGTTATTTAGCTAGAGCAAACCTTGTTATTTGAATCAAGCCCACTGATCTTTCCCTGACACTTTTTATTAAAGATGTTACCAAATTTGCTATTGCTCAAAGTCTCAGCTTTTCACCTCTCCACACTCCTCCTTGGACCAGAAACCACCTACTGAAATGTCCCCCAAAGAAGACATTCTCTTTTCTAAGTAAGAACAGCAGTGGCAAGAACAACAATGAGAATGAAAATCACAATAACCTGATCCTAAGACACGGGGCTGTGTTACAAGACAGCAGTAAAGTTGAAATCCCCTCTGATGGGAAGACTTTCTGAATGCTCTGCCTGGACTTCCACTAATCAATAAGATGATAAAACATTCATCAAAGGGGTCTGCAGGTTGTTATTTCCCTGATATCCCAAGCTCGTTAATATTTGGACAAATTGGCATCTGATAGCCAACAAGGTGGTGCCTGATCTTCCCCACCATCCCCTGCTGAGCTGTGCAGGGTTATCTCCATTTGCTGTTGGAGCTGTGCCTCCTTCTCAACCCCTGAGATCTGATGCCAGCCCATCATGCTAGAAATCAACCTCTGCCTACTGTCTTCACCCAAAGACATGTATTTCTAATGAAACTTCCTTTGAAGAGCAGGGAGACAAAAGTCCAAAAAGGAAGGAAAAAATATGTAAAAGTAATCACAAGAGTCATATACTAAAAAGTTCCTTCAGGAACCCTTTGGGTTTTGGGTCTTACTGAACTTTCAGGCAGCAGAACTATTAACTGAAATGGGAACCAGAATGAAACTCAGTTCTTCTCTAACCTTTCTAAAGGCCAATGACAATTAAAGCCACCCAGGGTGCTCCACAGTGTTTAGCACAGACCGTATAACTTTTCAGTGGGCACTTACCGTACTATTTCTCCCAACTTCGCTGGAATTTTTTATCTTCCCTATAATGTTAAAATTATCTTATTTCTATTTCTATTCAACAAAATAGATGACAGACAAAAATTGTTTTCAATTAGGTAGCTTTAGAAAATTCTGGGTTTTTTTCTTTAAATTCCCTGTAAAGAACCCCCAGAGATAAATTTAAATGGTATTTTTATGGTTTCAGTTTTGAGGTCCCACATTCACAGCTGTGAGATTCTTGGATCCTTTCTGAATTTTTAACTGATTCACAAAACTACGCTATGGTTCATGGAGGAAGGTCAAAGAATCTCTTTAGCTTCAAAGCAACAGAAAGATTAGGCCACATGAACTGGAAGAAGGTTCTCTGGGGAAGGCAACCCACCTTGGAGAAATATCACATCCTTGCTGCATGAAAGCTCCCAGGGAGAACCAGAGGCTGTTGAATATCCCAAACTCATTCGTCTGGTCATTGGCCGGCTGGTCCCGTCCTTCCTCGAATTCCTCAGTGTGCCACTCGTAGGGGCTGAAGCGACTCACCAGGAAGAGGACAACGCTCACTCCAATGTAGGCAAAAACAATGCACATCCATATTTCGTAAGCCAAAGGATCCAGAAATGAAAAAACTCCCGGCTTGGACTTTTGAGGTTTTTTTATCATTATGGAGATGCCTAAGCTCATGAACGGTTTGGAAAAGTCTATAACTTCTTCTCGAACCAGCGTGATGGTTAATGGTGCCACAGCCACATCCGCCCTCTGAGAAGGAGACAGAGAAAAGATTTGCAAACTTTGGATAAAATGTATCTACTAACTCCACCTTATATTCCTTTGATCTCTGTTTAACACTGCTACCTCAGAAGAAATCAGGCAAAACCAATTGCAAGAGAAAAGTTTAAAAGGGAAAGCCTATAATATTGGTGGATGACTTCCGTTCTATTACTACTGATTACCAGGTCTGTTTTGAAATCACAGTGTTTCCTTTTTGCAGCCATCTAACCCTTCGCGTCTGACTTATCCACTGATGTCACTGTCTGATGCAGATGATTTTCCCTAAAAGAGCTTTATCATCCAGACATCAAAAGAAGCGAGGAAAGGCCAATCTCCTGAAAAAGGATGTCAGGATGTTTACTTCCATCAGGAACTGCTTTTTGATTGCATAACTGATGCAGGAGAAGAGGAAAAATGTTCCAGCAACACTGACGTGCACTCTCCACTTACTTTGCAACCCACCTTGAAAATGGAGAGGGAAATGCATTGAAATGGCTGGTGGCTACCAGCAGGAGACAGATCACCCCTGCTCCAACACAGTGTCACAGAGATTTGGGAACTGATGCTCCCTACAAGCTTTCCCTTGTAGGGACAGGGAAAATTAGACCCCTCTGAGGGATGACCTAAACACCACAGATTGTGATCTACCAGACCAAACCAGGTTTAGAAGTGTAGGGTGCAGGTGTATATGTGACATGATGGAAATGAGTGGCTAGACAGAAAGTAATCTAGTCCTACCATTCACCACTCATATGCTGAGTGTTTGAAATCTTTTTCTTCTTTCATCCTACCATTATCATGCAAATATAAAACAGAGTAGAATTTGGAGATTCTACCCATGGGAAAGTTTGACCTTTCAATACTTGTTCTTCTAAAAATGTAAAGAAAAAGGATCTTGGAACTGTTGAAAGGAAACATTTTGACATTTCCATAGGCACAAAATGTGTGCTGTCTCTCCCCAAATTAAAATGTTTTACTTGGGCTGATTATTTGCATTATCAGAGCTGCAGTCCTCTGGAGAGCTCAGGCTGACAAAAGGCAGGGCTCCTTCTAAACTCTAGGGTCTGGATGTGTTCTCTAGAACTAAGAGCAAAAGACAGTGGATGAGGTTGGAAACTCACCCCATAAACAAGTTCTCCCACCATGCCATTCCATGTTTTGGTGTCAGGGTCCCGGGCTCCATACTTCCCATCCCGGACGATCTCCAGCCGGTAGTGGTAGCCAACGTGCTTGGCGATCTCGGCAGCGAGCTCCACACAGTAGCCTTCGTACCTCTCATTGCCTTCAAACTGGTTGGCATTCTTCTTGAGCATCACATATGGGTCTTCCTGGCACAGAGAAGACCTATATTGAGCCACACTCCTCATCCTAGATGTGCACAGCATGGGCTCTGATTGGAGCCCAGTGTGCAGCTTCTGGTCCCCCCTCTAAAAAGCTCGAGCTTTGAGTTCCTGCACCAAAGGACTCAGTCAACACATAGTGGGCTTATTCTAGAAGATATGACGTGAGATATATATACAAAGTGGCATATTCTGTTTAGTCATGGGGAATCTGTGTGCCGCTCCTGAGGTGATGGACCTGAGGGGAGTGGAGCAGTTGGAGGAATTTGGGAAACAAACCTTGCAGTGCAGTTCTGCAAAGGGTATTTAGTGCACTTGAGCTGTGAATTTTTAAAGGCACGTCTGCCTGTGTGGGCACAGCCAGAATCAAATCTACTGGACAGGAGAGGACCTTAAGATGTTTACCTCAGTGTGGGTATTGTGTCATCTCTGCAGGCTCACAGTAAGCAATAGACAAACAAATTAGTAACATTTCTTGGTTCTGCAGGGTAAGAATATACAATGACACAAGACATGATACCATACATTATGGGGTACCTATTATTCCTTCACGATTATAGTGGAGATTTGTTTTTAAAGCAATGACTCAGCCTCTCTGCACAATACAGCTTATCCTTCCCAAAACTGCAGCCCCCATTCTGTGGACTAAATACAAAGCACAGGTATGATGTTCCTAATTTTCCTACGTTGATGCCGCTACTATCTTGTCATAATCTTTTGTATTTTCTACACTTAAGCATGAGAGCTCTTTAATGCCTATTTAATTAGCCACAGCAATTTTCAGGTACCTTTATGGAGCCAGTAGGAAACAGTAAGTACTATTATTATTATTGTTATTGCTATTATAAAAATGATACAGTAAAAGAGAGGGCACACGAGTGGGAGGAGGGAGTCTGCACATCGGGGAGATGGGGTAGAGGGAGACCTGGGAGAGAAATCACAGCACTTACTAGGATGGTCGTGACTATGTAAGTCCTGTTCTGGAGGCTTGTGGACTCGTTGCCGCTTTGAGTATCTACTGCTGTTGGAACCAACTTCTCATCTTCATTCCAGTAACCAATCTGCCCAATACAAAACCAGGATTGGCATCTCTTTGTAACATTAACCAAGATACAGTAACAGGGTCATCCAAGCAGGATCATCTCTCTCCGTATGTTCACACCCAACCAGATATTTGCTTTTCTGATTCTTGGTGTCTTTTCCAGGGGGACCAGGAAATTTCCCATCCCACCTTTGCCTCCAGACGGAAAATAATGTGCATGATATGCTACAGTAGCACAGTGTTTGTAAGAATTACCTTTAGCACACTGTACTGGTGATTATTGCCATTCCCTGCCTCATCCCTGTGCTCAGAGTACACACTTGTGTACTCTCTGTGTGATTTCTGAAAATTATTCTAACAGTGAACTTGCCTGCTGCATGTGCAGGTGCTGCAGGGTGATGACACATTATCCTGCAGCTGAAAGCCTTTACGGAAATAGTACTGACTCTTTGGATATCTTGAGACAACAGGACAAAAAATCAAGTCAAGAAAAAAAAATAAAAGCCCCAGCCCTGGGCCAATGTCAAAAAGTTTGGGGTTATGAATAAACTGAACAGTTGTAATGGGAAGAACTCTCATGTTAAGTTGTGCTTAATAATAATCAGGGATTTGGGCTGATCTATCACTGCTTGCAGGTAAAGCAGAGTGCCACCAAGTATCGCTAGGGAGATCATGGTTGAGGTTATCCATTTTGAGGCCTTGATTTTATAAGAGGTTTTCCATCACCTCATGTAAGTATGAAGCAGCCTGAGCTCTGCTCATATGAAAGGAATTTCTTATCACAGTAAATGGGAAAGGGTATTAACCAGGGCACGACCAGCAGCCTGCTGATGGCAGATTAAAGATTGTAACAGCTCAGGAGAAAAAAAAAAAAATCTGTGCAGGCTTCTAATAGTTCTTCATTGCACAGAGAAAAAGAGCAGAGAGTGAGGAAAGATTTTCCAAAGCTCTGCCCTAAGGCAACATAAATGGAGACATGTATGTTTGCTTTGCACCTCTAACCTGGTGGATCTAAAATACAACAGGCATCGTGGCAGTGATGTACATGTCTTCCAAACAAATATAATTTCTGACAGTAAACACATAGAAAAATCAAGTTATTCAACCACTCTGTTTCTTCTCCTCTAAACTCTTTCCAGACTACCAACTTACTGAAGTTCAGAGAACCAAAATGGACATGATGCTGTCTTTGTTCTCTTATGAATACTTTGTAGTGGAAGAGGACAGCTTTGTATGTTTTCAAAGTGACATTTCTTTTATTTCTCAATGAAAATTTGCCTTTTTTTGCTTGACTATGGTGGGCTTTGATCTCTCATCAGTTGCTACTAGGTCTAAGTATGAATTGGGTGCAGGGACTGTAAATATGAAACTTTCACTATTTACATTACTCTTAGTTTGAAACAAGTGTTTCATTCTTCAGGGGACTGAGGAGGTGCAGACAGATTACACTGAATGCCTCATTCCAAACTATTTAGTGGCTCTCCTTTATCAATGAATAACTGAGTTATTCTTTGTTCTTCAAATACATAGTATCTAAAGTGGGACATAAGCACATGGAGTCAGATTTTCAAAAGGATTAGTGTTTCAAGGGCTCAGCATCCCTGAACAAGGCCAGATTTTTCAAAAAGCCTGGGACAGAGAAAGGGATCAAGACTTCAGAACAGCACAAAGGTCTGTGTAGCTATTGGGATGTGGTTAGTGGTAAAGCTCTTGTCACTTCAAGGAGAGCAGAATTAGGTCAACATGAAGGGTCCACTTACACTGGTTAGGGCAGGCAGCTTCTGACTTGCTCTGCCTTGACTCATCCTTGGAAAAGAAAAGTGGGAGGGCAAAACCAGACAGTCGTGTAGTAGGGCCTGCACCAATGCACTGCACCAATAGCAAGGCTGAGTTGACCAAGCTTTTACTATCCTGGAAAATCTCTGCCACACACAGCTAAGATATCTTTGTTGCTCTTGAAAACATCCTCTATATGTTGTGTTTTTTTAGCAATATACCACAAGTTCCCACAAGTGCTTGGCTTTGCTCATGCACAAAGCGGGGAATGCACTCATTGTGACTCCACCTTCAAGCTTTCATGAACAGGAATGTTTGTTGAGACCCAACCCCACTGTAACTCAATCACCCAGCTGGAATCTCACACAGGATGTCAGGTCACTCTCTGCTTTACCTTTCTGATGCCGTCGTGTTTCATCTCAATCACATGCAGGGTGTAGTTGGTCCTCCGTCCTTTCTCGTTAAACTGAACGTTGCCAGACAATCCTTCAAAACGGACCTTAAAGATATAAATATCAATGAAGATGGAAAATCAGTCAGCACCTCATGCAGTGGTGATTAGACAGCAGCAAGAGGGAAAGTGTAGAAGGAAGGAGAGTGCAGTCGTTTCTCTCAGGTCCATGCAGGAGAGACAGGACATCTGTCTGACACTGGGATTTCACTGAAGTTAACTCTACAGCATGCCTGACCATGGGAACAGCCATTCTCTTAAGTTACCCTTTCTTTAAAAAACCCTTTCTCTTAAAACTTAGTGGTGTAAAACTTAGCTCAGCAATGCCTGAGAGCTAAATCACCAATGAGAGCCCATCACCTCTTGGGATGTGACAGTGAGCTAAATCAGCTCTGAACTCCTTGAGTTTTGTGTAGTTTTGTATTTTCTAAATCTGACCTGTAGTCAGGGTTTGGTAAAGGATTTGTCAGTTCAAACCAGGAACTGTATTTGGGGGAAATATGAAACTGTGGCCACAGCTCCCAGCTGTTGTCTTTTGATAGAGAGGAGTCTATCAGTTACCAAGCAAATTTAGTTACCTCTGCACCAGACTAATAGAAGCCAACAATTTAGTATTGTAAATGAAAATTACATGGGAAACATTGAATCATAAATCTCTGCTGATAGCACCACCGAGCTGAAGTGTTGCTCACATCACATCCCACATCCTGAACTTCTCCTCTCAGCGTGGCCATTTGACTTATTGCAAAAGTGACCAGCCTGGCGTGGGGAAGGGTCCCTAATTGGAATCATACACTGTAGGGGACCAGGCAGTGGGGACCAGGGACATGGGAAAAAGAGTGCAGATTTGGGTGTCTATGGAGACCACATGGAGAAATGCTCATGCCACTGGATTAGGAATTAAAGGTTTGCTCTCAGCCTTTCCACTTGCTTTGGACAAATCTGTTGTCCCTGCAACTGAAGTTTTCCCACATGCAAAATGGGGACAGGTATTTAACATACTTTGTAAATACTCTGAGATCCTCAGAATAAAGACCCATGGTGAAGAAATGAGGATATTTCTTCACAGAGGAGCACTGTCGTTAATCTGCTTAAAACGTGTTTGTTTTCCAGCTATTATCACAAAGGTTTGTCATGAAAAGGAACATCTGCCAGTATTTTCTGAAGCTCTTTCACATCAAGAGGTATTCCTAGTGACATTTGGAGAAACATGCTTTTCCCTTCTCACAAGACACAACATGCCCATAAAAAATAGATGCACTGGAAAAGCACCATTGTCTTAAGCACTCCCAAGCCTGCTTTTTTTCCACGTCTCCTTTGGTTTTCTTTTCAAGTTCTGACCCCTTCTGAAGCTCAGGTCACAGGTGTTCGTGTTTTGTAGCTTTATATGCACTAAAAGGCAGCTGTACAGCATCAATTTCTTCTATCTGAATGAGTGAAATCTTAATCCTGTGATCTCCATGTGGCACTGAAACGGCAAAAGGGATCCCTGCCATCCATGCTACAAGGATGCAGCACAGCTTTTCTATCATTTCCCATCCTCTGATTGTAAATGCAAAATGCAAAAATGCAGTGCAAAATACAGTGAGGATTGATTTCAACAGTGCTAAGCACCAGTAAAGTCATCCAGAGACACGGAGCATTTAAACACACTTGTGTATAAGACATGGATGGGCCTGGGCTCTTTGCTGGGAAACCTGGAGCAGCAGGATGGTGTACAGGGTAAGTCAGCAGTTAGGGACTGTCTATCTGCTTATTAGGTCTGATAACAAAATAATACTTTAAAAAGAATTTGTTAAAAATGATCATGACCTTTTCAAAGTACAACTGAAACTTCAGTGTATTGCTTTTAAGCAATAATTTGTGAGAACTTTCCTGGGGAAAAAAACTCCAAATAATTATTAACAATACACATTGTGCTGAAATATGCTAAATTTCTTCTTTTTTTAAAAATAAAGAATGCTTCATACCTCTTTTCATTTTTGTTCCTGTTATCCATGAGTCCTTGTCAGGAGGTTATAGTGAGGGGAGGGGTCAGTCTATTCTCCCAGGTAACACAACAGGACAAGAGAAAATGGCCTCAGGTTGTGTTAGGGGAGGTTTAGATTAGATATTAGGAAAAATTTCTTCACAAAAAAGATTGTCAAGCATTGGAAGGGGCTGCCCAGGGAAGCAAGTGGTGGAGTCACCATTCCCAGAGGGATTTAAAAGATTTGTAAATGTGGCATTTCTGGACATGGTTTAGTGGTGGCCTTGGCAGTGCTGAGGTAATGGTTGGGTTTGATGATCTTAGATCTTCCAACCTAAATGTTTTTTTATGATTCTGTGGCTCCTTCCTGTACTAAACAGAAATAAGGCAATCTGAGAGCTTATTCCAGACATTTGAGCAGAAGTAAGTAGAGAAACCTTTTGCATTTAAATAGTTTAGAAAATTTTAGGCATTAGCAAATGAGAGGTGAAGAGAAAGCCCACTGTGAACAGCTGTAAAAATTGCCCTGTTTGTGAGTCTTTACAGAAAGGATAACTCAAACCTTCAGTCTCAAGTCCTTCTATTTCCATCTGCCTCTTTCCTGCTACGTTACTAAATGCTGCATGATTATTAAATTCATAGCTAAAATTTTGCTAGGAGGTTTCTTTCCCTGCCTCTTTCAGAGCCTTTTATTTTGACCATCACAACTGAACTGGTCAAGCCTTTTTAAAACTATGATTTTTCAACAGAGGCATCTTTTGCAAACAGCTCTTCATGTTCTTTGCCCAAAGTCACAACAGTTGAAAAGTTAAGACTTTTGAATTTGTTTTAATGAAGAGATGAGGAAACTTCAGAGGAGATTACCCAACATACACACACAAAATTGTATTTTCTGGCTGTCTAATTTTGATATCTTATTCTCATAAATTCAATAAAGGAAAATGCTTGAGAAGCTATTGCTCATCAGAAGACTTCCAAGTATTTCATGTTTATTAGGTAACCGATCTCCCTAATGCATCAGGGAGGCTGATTTTATTATAAGGGCTTGGAGAAGCTATGACAGTGATTTGCCCAAGGTCATACAGAAAGTCAGTGACAGGCTTGGGAACAAATTGAATCCAAGCAATAAAATCAAATCAGATGCAAGATTTGGCTTTGGAGGAATTGTTATTTACCAGTAAGCAAAACCCAAATCAAAACAAAATACATGGGGAACTTTACATATGATACAAATAAACCAAATTAATGTTGTCCTTCTTGCCTTCTTCCCAGTTAAGGAAAGAAGATGGGATAAGCTACATTTGGATAACACTGAACTAGCACGATTTTCAAGGAAACCATCTATTTCTGTCAGAAAAAAAAGAACAGAAGAACAGAAGAAATGAATGTCAGCCTTGAAATTTAATGAAATTTTAAAATATTTTACCTGTGTAGAGTATTTTTTCTCTATTGCTGTTTCACATCATATTTTTGTTTTTTCAAAAATCTAAATTTTTATGCAGCATGAAAAAACCTAGATTATCAGATTTGAGGAATAAACTATCTAAGTGGCTGTTACTAAGACTTTTATGGATCCTCACAGTATGAAACAAGCTATAATCTGCACTTTGAGAACATTTTGATGACAGCCACACATAAGGCAAAATTCACATGCATTCATTAGCAGCCTGGAACTGAAGCCGAGTTCATGGAGAGTTAAAGAATCTGCAAAAAGCATGGTCTGAGCAGGTCTGTGTCTGAGGGAGGGGAAAATAAAAATCGGGATCCTTGATTTTATGGAATAATATTTTGGCTTTTGCATCCCCGAACATCAGCAGAAGTTAAAGCAGGCAAGGACACATCCGATGCTACCAAGAAAAGCAGTTTGCTGGGTGCACCCCTGAGGTTTTTAGGAGACCTGGTTCTAATGTGGAAGGATCAGTTCCTCATCCTAAGTGATTCCTGTGAACATTTCTGCTGTGAACCACCCTCGGGCTGCATTCAGCCGAGCCCACATCGTTAGGGTTCCAAACCTGCTGCAGCGCTCTCTGGATGTCGATGCCTTGCCCCCAGGGTACGGCTGGGTTGGCAAGGCAGTCCCCGGCGTTGCCGCGGCGGGAGATGTCGATCCTCTGCCTCCTCAGGTTCTGGAACGCCTCGGCCATCACCCGGACCCCGTCGTATGTCAGGGCTGACGTGTACTGGAAAGAGAAGAGTAGTTGGACAAGGCCCGTCAGGGTGAGCTGCCCCTGGGTGTTGTCACCCTTCCAGCTACGAAGTTCAGCTGTCTCCTGCTCCCTGTAATCTCCACTGTCCTGTAGGCTTGTAATAGTTGGTTTTGCTTTTGCAACTGGGAAGTGAAGGAGAAGCTCCTGGTGCAGAGTCAGGTTGCACTCCCTGAAGAAGGTTCAGCCTTAAAAGGTGTTTGTCTGTTACCCAAGTCTTTGTGATTAATTAGATTCAGTGACCCAAGCTTTTGAGTAACTCATTATACTGTGTAAATGTGAGATAGGTGAAATCAAGACACAAGAGACCTTTTCTGGTCACAGACAGAGACCAGAAAACTCTTTCTCTGTCTGCAAAAGTTCTGCAAAAGATGAGCTTATTCAAGCAGAAACTTGTACAGAAATCAGTGTAAAACTCTTGTCATGAACCATTAGAGTAACTATTAGAATCAATTCCTTTTCATGTGATTTCCTACCTATTTATTTGTTTGCAACTTTCCTGAACTAATAATTCTAAAGTTAACATTTCTATTGCTGAGTGTTTGTCGCAAATGTATTTGTTTTCAAATGTCAAACAGAGAAAAAAACAACCTCCCCCTCCACCCATCTCTCAACAGCTTCAGGGCCTTCTGTGTAGGAACTAAAAAATTTTCCTCCTCTATTGTACACACTGATTTGAAATGCTAAAAAAGAACATCTGGAAAGACTTTATTGTCACTGGATGTCTAGTAAACAAGTCAAAGGTTAAGGAGTTAATGAGGCTTTTTGTTTCTTACATACTGAACATCATGAGTTGTTTAATTCTTAGCTTTGAGGAAGGTATAAACTGGGAGATGGGGTGAATACAATAAATTGTGTGTTTCTTGGAGGCAGTAACTGCTGCCTACTAAAATTTATACAATGTTGAGGCACCAGTTCATAATTATATTGAGAGTTTCTCAGAGTGAGATTAAAGAGTTCTTTGTGATCACAGAGAGGTGAGCATAACTTTACCAGAACCAGATGAACTCAAAATTAAATGTGTTCTTTTACATCACTTGCCTTTGGCCTTTTCCAGTCCACACGTGGATGCTCTCTGGCATCATTATTCCTCCACTGTTGCATGATCCTGGCAGGAACAGTATCTGTGTAATTCACCAGCTGGAAGCCAGTCACGTTGGCTCCACTCTCCCTGAATTTGGTCAGGTCAATATCCATGAATCCCTAGGACAGGAGAGAAACAGGAGAAGCTCATCAGAGGAACACATCTCTGGGTGGATAAGACAAATTTTGCCCATCTATGAGTTTGGCAGACAGCTCAGGAAACACCTCTTCCCTCTGTGAGGTGACATCCAACTCAAAGAGGCACCACTTCCCTGACCATGATGTGAACTTGCCTTTTTCACAGGCTCTGAGCTGAACATATCCTGAAGTTTCCAGGAGACAAATTAACAACAGGTCATATGCAAGAAAGATATCAGAGTAATGGAAAAATGCACTGACTAATGCTTGGATGAAATGAATAAAATTTATAAAATAAATTAAAAAGAATTTTTTACCCAGCTCTAACTTTCAGACAGAATTCTTCACCCAGCCCTAACTTTTATGCACTCATTCACCACTGGATACACTACTTCTTTTCAAATCATAGTTTACAGGGAAAAACCAAGCCTGAACAATGAACTTTCAGCAGATCAAGAAGTCACAGCTTGTTAAAGGAGTCTGACTACTAGAAAAGCCAGTTTATAGAATTTGCTAATTTGGGAGAAAAAAAAGGTACTTTTTTTAGACTTCAGATCACTAACAAAATACTTTTTTTTTCCATTTCTTTATTGTTCTTCTCTGCTTCTCACTGCATGTGATGAACACACTTGCTCAAATACACGTGTGTATTGATCAGGGTGGCACTGCAGAATTAGTCACTCCTCTTGAGTCAGAGGTGAAAAAATAATTAGAGACACTCTGCAATATGAAGAAGAGGTCATTTCTTGGTGTCCCAGCTTTGATCCCACCCCTGCAGCACTGCTGCTGTGCAAAACTGTTTGCTGTACCCCCTCACACAGAGCAGGTGCTCGAGCAGAGGCTCTGCCTTCCTGCTCGGGCTGCTGGGTGGGGGACACAGGCCAGGCTGAGGTCTGGTGCCTTTTCTTTTGGGGTACAAACACAAGAGATGTAGCCAATAACTGGCACTAATACCATCAGCAATCTTAATGTACGAGGGAAAATGAGTGGGAGGAGTTTCACAATGCAATCACTTGAGCAGCGGAAGAGCTTTTTGAGCTCTGCCTTCCCGCTGCCCTGATGGTGTGTGTTCTCCTCAGGCTCCTTCTCAGCCTGCCACTGGGTTTCTCCCCCTTGCTTGTTCTCAGACATATGATGACAGTGTGAGTTAAAAAAGCCAAGTCACATCATTTCCAGGAAACACCAGTCAGGTTCCCAAAATGGAACCTCTGTTCATGGGTAGACGGAGCTAAGGAGCTTATTAACTTCTAAAGCCAGGATCAAGCCATTACATGGAAACCTGTTTTTGAAACAGACCTTGCAAGTAAAAGTCTAAATTGCCCTCTCACATCAGTGTCAGACTGAGGGAGTCATGAGTAACTCAAAAACATCTTTAAAGACTTTCACACTTTTTTCTTTCAGCTTTCTGTAAGCAATTTGGCATCCACTTACAAAGCTGAGGATTAGATATTGGTGTATAGATGCTCTAAACAGATGACTTGTTTTGCTTCAAAGTGCAGTGATTCAGGTAAAAAAAAATATTTTATGTGTACATATTCCTCAGAACGCTGGTAAAACCCACATCAATCCTGTTTGTGATTGCTAAGCGTAGGGGTTTAACAAAGCCAGAGCTGTGATTAATGAATAGGAAATGCAGCAGGATAATTGTCCCTGACATCTTAATGCATTTCAGGCCAAGTGGTTTTTGGCATGCAGAGCTCTAAGGTTCAGTAAGAGGGACCTCACAGGTTGCCAACTGGTTATTCATGGCTAGGACCAAGTTACACTGACGTTTTGGTCGTGGGAGATACTCAGGGGAAAAGGATCTGTCAAAAGAAACTACCACAGAGCAACTTGAAGTTTGTGCCACCAGCTCCTCCTTGGAAGACCTACAAAGGCATGAAGAAAAGTCCAAGTTCACGACAGAGTATGAGTAAGAAGGCTGGTGTATTAAACCCTCTCAGCATGTAGATTTAAGTAGAAAAAGTCAAAAAAAGGTTATGACATCAGTGATGAGACAGTAGTGGTTGAAACTGCTATATTTTACTGTTTTCCCCCAAACAAAACTATTCTGAAACTGAAGCAAATATTCAGTAATATTCACTGGGATTCATCTTGCATAAAATTTTGAAATAATCTGAATAGATGAAAGGAATTATTTCTTCTTGAAGATTGTACTATTTTTCCCACTTCGTTTTGGCACAATTCAGGTTCTTTAAAAAGTGTGGAGACCTCCAAAGATTTTCCAGTCATTTAAGGCAGGTAGGACCATAGAGGACATCATTAACCTTGAAGACATCTTTGCATTTTGGCTGTTATCAACCTCTGAAATAATTGTTTTCACCTGTTATCCCTCCTCCACATGCCCCAGTACAAAAACATTATAGGAATGGTTCTAATTATGAAGGAATTTTAATCATTGCACCACTGAAATCTGCTCAGAGCAGGTCTGGGGAACATGAGAGTCAATGAACAGGGAAATCCAGGGGTCAAATATTTTAGAAAATAACTCCCAGAGAAGTTGAATTCTTGCTGGCAAACACATAAACAAAAAAATATCAAGTGTTATGCAAACTGGTTTTGTAAAATGTTTCTATTGACAAAGTAGCAGCAGGAATTCAATATGCTTATCTGTCTTTTTGGAATATCAGTCTGCTTGTAGGAAACAGGAGAATGAGAGAATTACAATATTTGCAAGTAAAAAAGTCATCAATCATCTGTCACCTTGTACTAACTATAGCCACATTTTGAAAAAAAAAAAAAAAGAAGAAGGGATCTTTTGTTTAGTTTTCAATTGAACATATTTGGGAAAGAGAAAATAAATTCTTAAAAATTGTCTAAGGAAAGACTGCAACCCACGACTGAGGGGCAACAGCTGTGCTTTTGGATTAATATGTTGACTATCAACCAGCCTGGGAAAGAAACAGCCCAGAAATGCTTCCCTCTGTCATCCACCCAAGTGCAGCAAGAAGTGAACAGTGCTGGAACGATGCACCCCATGTGGTCCCATGGAGTGATCAAACGGTTTTGAAACCATTTCAAAAACCTGCCAGCGAATACTGGAAAAAAACCATGTCTGGAGCACAGTGGGCTGTTCAGGGAAATGAGCAGAATCCCTGAAATTTGGTTGTGTGTGACTCTCTTCAAGCTCTTTACACCAGAAGCATTTGGGAGGTATCTGCTGAATATGTGGGTTTCACCCTTCACCTCCCTATATGGCACTGCTGGTCCCGCAGGGAGGAAGAGCAGGAATATGGGAACTCACATCACACTCCAGTCCCCCTGGAAAGTCAGGACCCAGAGGGAACACAGAGCTCCCTAGGGCCCAGAGATGTAGGTACACAGGAGGAAACAACACTTCTGCAGGCACAGTTATCCCTGGGAATCCTCACAACCAGGCTGGAAGGGACACCACGGCAGCCAGCCCATCCCCTGCCGTACAGCAGGATTAGCTGTCCCTTCGACTTAAATTGACTTCACAAAATCACCCCAGCAAACCAGAGAACACGGCTTCCTGCCTTGCATATGCCTGGAAAATGCCTGGTTTTCTCCAAATGCCATCAAATTAGCAGGCTGACAGTAAACCACAAAAATCTGTCCCCATCGCGCTGATGGGCTGAGGTGGATCCCTCCTCCACGCCTGCTCTGACTCACAGCATCTGCAACACACTGTTCCAGCAACAGCCAGGCTCGGTTCAAAGGAGGAAACTTGCTCTTTAGCCCATACCATGGGCTCCTCTCTGCATTAATGAACCTCACAGGGCGATTACGTGCAGAAGTCCTGCTGCTAGGAAATAATATGGGCAGCTATTACAGACCTTTGTGGCTTCAAATAGAAGCCAGTCCTAGAGAGGGATTTTTCCTCATTGTGCTTTCCTTGATGCATCTATTCTTTATGCTGTTCTTAAACTGAAAGCTCTTTTCAGCCAAAGGTTGTTTTACTGTCCTGTTCACTGCCTCGGCTGCTGGGAGAGGTGTCAGCAAGTCACACATTTATATTCTTCTCCACTGCTTGTGGGCTCAATCATCAAAGGAAATGCATAATTCAGGAAGACTGATGACTTGAAACAGGCCTTATGAATCCATCTTGATTAAGTGGTCCACGAAGGATCTGCTTTGAAAAGAAAGTCCCTCCAGAAATGAGCCAGCTCCTTATTTATACCCTGGACACTATGAGGAGCCAGGACATTGAGTGGGCAGTGCAGGCAGCTGCCAGTGTAGGGAAAGCCTCATCCCTTCATGCATGACCCTCCTCAAATCTTCCAGCATCATTTACTTCTCTGCATCTCTCCTTTCACCCTCGTACTTCACTGCCTCTGCCATTCTAAACCTCTACCTCCTCTCCACATGCTGATGACACTGGGCAGCATTTCTCCTTCTGGAATATCATCCCAGCCCCTGGGAATGCTGCAGCCTCACCTCCATACCTGGACATTGACAGGCAGCCAGCTGCTACCCCACACCTTCAGATTCTCTTTGTATTTCACTAAGCTCATATTAATTGCTGGCACTTTCCCTGCAGGTGCCTCCTGCAGTAGAATCCTGCCTTTGAAGCTGTGGCAGCAAGGGCTGAGCTCCAGGGAAGCTCCAGCTCAACAGCTCATAAACCACCCCACAGCACAGCCTAAAATCTCTGTGCCTGTGCTTCAAGTCTCGTCTTTTCCTGAGAGATAGGACATTAGGGAGTCTCCTTGAAGACTGTCACATTCCTGAGAAACACTGTTGTTTTTGTCTCCTCCCTCTGTGTCTTCTGAGCCCTCCAGATCTGCTCCCAAGACCGGTAAGGCTCAGCTCTGAAAGAGGAGAAGGAAAATGCCCCTTTCTCTTTAATTGTCTGGAAAAGGTTTGTTGGCTGAACCTAAAATAGTCCCCTCATTCCAGAAGGAGTATCAGGGTTTTTAAGTCCCTTTCTGTCTGGGATGAGGAGCCTAGAGTAGATTTTTTCTTTTCTATAATAGGTTGCACACTAAAATATTCCCTTTCAAGCCAAAAGCATTTAAGCA